CAGACTAATGGCTTTCAATAAGGAATGCAATGACAAGGCGAAAGAAGAGACAGCCCTAAAAGCGCTGAAGGACAAATTGGCAGCATTCGAGTTAGAACAAAGCATTGGCCGAGAAGTCAACAAGGTGGACTGTTTAGAAGAGGAAGTACTTACAAGGGAACTGGGCGACGAAGTGATGCGGATCGCCAAACCTGGATACGCTCAAGCACAAGACCCTCTGATCAAAGTAAATATTGGCAATGAAGGAGAAGATCGTCCAACATTCATCAGCCAGATGTTCGATCAAGAGGTTAGTAACAAATTAATCGCTTTGCTAAAAGAGTACAAAGATTGGTTTGCTTGGGAATATGAACAAATGCCTGGTTTAGATAGAGACTTGGTGGAACATAGATTACCAACTAAGCCTAATTTTGAACAAATGCCTGGTTTAGATAGAGACTTGGTGGAACATAGATTACCAACTAAGCCTAATTTTAAACCTCATAGGCAGCCTCCTAGGCGTTTTGCTCCTAATGTGCTCCCTGAAATCAAGAAAGAGATAGAGCGATTATTGAAAGCATGTTTTATTAGAACAGCCAGATATGTCGAATGGTTGTCCAATATCGTGCCAGTACTAAAAAAGAATGGTAAACTAAGGGTGTGTATAGACTTTAGGAATTTAAACATAGCTACACCCAAAGATGAGTATCCAATGCCCACGGTGGATTCTTTAGTAGACTCGACTGTCGGACACGTCATGTATTCTTTCATGGATGGGTATTCAGGATACAATCAAATTTATATAGCTGAAGAAGACATACACAAAACTGCCTTTAGATGCCCTGAGTCTCTAGGATGTTTTGAATGGGTGGTTATGCCTTTCGGCCTAAAAAATGCAGGGGCAACTTATCAAAGGGCAATGAATTTAATCTTTCATGATATGATAGGCAAGTTTGTTGAAGTGTATGTAGATGATATAGTGGTCAAATCCATTAAAGAAGAGGACCATTTCGAACAGTTAAGATGTTCATTTGAGCGAATGAAGCAATATAAGCTAAAGTTGAATCCCTTGAAGTGT